CAAAGACTGAAAACACTTTCTCTCATTAAAATAAGACAGATGATTGCACAATCTGGGCCAAGGTATGTGCGCTCTTGCTCCTAATATTTTGAGTTTCTAATATTTATTTTTATTGTTCCCAATGCTACTTCCCACTGTGGAGGATCAGTAGCGGCACCAAGATGAGCCCTGACAACACGGCTGTAGATGAAAGACAAACACTTTTCTCTTTACTGGTGTGATCTCTCTCTGGCACACATGGCTAGTTATGTTATTGCAGTCTCATTCTCTAGCACTTGTTTTTGTTCTCTCCATAGTCTGTATTTCATCTGCCTGTCCTAATTGATGTTTCGCTCTCCTTCAACCAAACCTCTAAAGGGCAGCAGTGAAACAGATAATCACCTTAACAGCTCGATACCCCAAACCAGAATAACTGTCTATTTCTCCTCCTGCTGAGGGAGTTAGGAGGAGGAGGAGGAGGAGTGGCCTGTGTTTGCTGCCAGGCAGAGCTCAGTGATATCCATCAAGCCTCCTATGCTGGCCTCTGATTTTAAGACTCCTTAGTGTTTCAGTTCTGTCCTTTTAAGCAGTCTCTGTCTGCCTCTTGCACTCTGACAAACACTGATACAACGTCAGGGCTGACAGGTATAGAATGGAAGCCAATGTCCCAAAGTGCCCCTGTCCCATGTTCCATATTTGCCAAGTCCATGCCAACAGCTTAGGTAAAGGAAAGGAGGAACTACTGCCACAGACAAAGTATAGCTAGCATTTTCCATTAGCCATACTGGGTGCATGTGTGCGCAGAATACTATTAGAAGATTATGCTTCAAAAGAACTGCAAAATTTCCATTTTATAATATCTTCCTCCACATCACGAGAAACAGAAGCCAAGTTTCTGATTAAAGTTTTTGTGGTGATCTCCAGAGGACCCCCACAACATGTAGTCCTGCAGACCAGAATGCTGTGCTGTGCCTGAGGTCATAGTGCATTGTGAACTGTTTATCCCCTCCTTGAATTTATTCCTCTTCTCGTGTCAGCCTGTGGTCCATCCATTCATTACTCTTCTCCACTGAAAGGAGAAGGGGGCGGGGCTCAGGGTACATTACAGCAAATGGACTCCTTACAGCAGGCAGCATTAAGGTAATTGTGTGTGCTTGCATGTGTGTGTGCTCGCATGTGTTTCTCTAAGGGAAAAAGAAGGTAATGGAAATGAGAGTTCTATTCCTGCAGAGTGAACTGTGACTTTTCGCTTGCAGAAACATGCAGCAAATGTAAATCCTCAGTTTTGACAACCACCACCACCAAAGGGATTTTAATATGTTATATATTTGCATCTGTTACATCTCACAAAGACATGCACTAACTACTTTCTGAAAAAATAAAAAGGGCCCTCTATGAATACATTTGACAAATATCCACCACTCTTTACATTTGCTCTTACAAAACAACCACTGGCCTCAGAATAAAGGGCATGTTGAGGTATCATTTACACAGTCTTAATGCTTGTACTTACAGACCATCCTTGAAATTTTTTTGAATAATGAAAGACAGATGAAGAATTCTTTATTTGTTAATACAGTTTTAGATGTGATGCATTTCACCAAGCTGTGTGAGCTGGCTGCTCATCCTAGCTCAGCAGTCTCACTCTTGGTTTATGCAAACAATCCCTGATCCCATGGTTTCCACCCCCCCTCTCATTTTTTACCCTCTCATTTTTTACCAAGTGTTTCCTGACTTGAAACAAAACATAACAGCCTGGGAAGTTCCACATGAGTCAGACTCGAGCCTTAGCTGTACAATAGTACGGCTGGCTCAGTTCTTTCCTAAGAAGAACGTGAAGTTTCACCTTGTCAACCTGACCGAACGTGGGGGTGGATGAAGATGTCATTTTTGTGTCAAGATAACATCTATTTCAGCAGTTCCTGTAATACCCAGTATTCAATGCCAAAGTTGAATTTTGGGATCTGACATGTATGATGACAAAGGGCTGAGTGACATTTGAAATTGTTATCAACTATGTGTGACAAATGCTGTGCAGGAAAGCATCTGGCACTGGCTGATGCCTTGTGACTTCCTGATGCAAGATTGTGTTATTTTTCCACTCCACATAATGCTGTCATACTCCTGGTCCTAATATTACTTTCACAAAGTTCTTGCAAACCATAACATTTTACTCACAAGTGCTTAGGACCAAAAATTTGATTCATAAATCTCTATTTTTTTCCTCAGTAAAATGATGTAAAAATAACACTCAGTCCTAAACCCCGCGTAATATGATTCTGACAACATGTTTATGTCAAAGACCGTTCAACCTCACATCTAAATAATCCTCAACAGGCAAATGCAATTTTCTTTTTATAGCATTTTATAATTTTCCACAACAGTATTGACTGCAGCAATGCCACCAATGTCAAACTGGCCTATTTATTTCCATAAACACCCACAGACACAAACCAACAACTCTACCCATTCGCCCCCAGACCTTTATTTTAATCAGTTAAAGATGTTGCCTGATGCACCAGCTGGACATTCCTTTAATTCCAGAAGACCCCTGAAGGAGCAGAGCTGTACATTCACCAGCCCCTCCAGTCCTCAACATTGTTTACCAGACATAGTTGCTTTTCTCTTCACTCTAATGCCTTGTGAACTGATATTTGTATTCAGGAAGGAAGAAAGAAGAAAAGTGGTGGTTTCATTTGGTTCTTTATGGAGATAAAATTATATAGCTGAAAATACAAAAAGGTGCAAGTCAGAGCTAAGTTAGGTCACCAACTTTTAAAAACATCCTGAAATTTCCCCTCTCAGAGAAACAGGAGTAGGTGTGTATAAGTTTGAGGCCCTAAGGCAAGGTGGTAAAAGTGAACAAAAACAGAGTCTGTGGGCTGAGGATGTGCTGACTGGAGCAAGCTCAGCACCAGCAAGCTCGGCCTTTAGCATATCTGAGAGTAACCACCACCACAACTGCTCTAGGGCTAACAATTATTTTAATAATCGATTCATCTGTGGATTATCTCTATGATTAATCAGATGTATAAAAAGCATGCAGAAATATATTTTCAACATTTCAAAAACAAATGCACTCTTTTATACAATGCTTATGCAACCAAAAGTGACTGGTTCAAGAAGAGAGCATTTATAAAGGTGCACATCAGGTCCTTAAAGTGTTAACAAAAACTGTATGATTTAAGGAAATTTAGGCTACATGTTCATAAAATACTGCACCAATGTAAAGGGCCTGTACAAACATGACTGCTACTGTTGATAGTTAAAAGTACCTCTGAGTATGTATTTTTAAATTCCAGAGCACTGTTTCATGCCTAACTCACTCTGTGGGCAGGTTTTGTAGATGTCTGATAAGTGATGAAAAACAGACTCCTTCCTCGGTTACAGCAGATATTTGGCAACCTAATTAAAATATTTACAATTTTTCAAGGATACCAAACATTGTGTTGTTGCTAAGAAGCTGAACATCAATCATAGCGTATGTGCTTAGGCTGCTGTTGTTACATTTCTGTCAAGCTGAAGCAATTAGTTGCTGCTATTGGCAATTTATAGTTGCAGTTCTTCTACAGTAGAGCCTGAGAATGTACAGTTTTATTTTCTTGAGGCGAAGTGATTAATCTCTTTGGTAAAAAGCCATGTAATTGGCTATATAATGGTCTTACAATATCTTTTTTTTTAAGTGACCGAAGGAGCTTTGGCTTAAAAATGACAAACCTGACACCACACATCTATCTGCTATTAAACCAGAAGCCATCCTGCCTCTCTTCTATCACTGACACCAACCTAACAGCATAAACAGAGTACAAGTATATTTAGAAATTCTTTTGCACAGGGGCATCATGACGGTTTACTGAACATTTGGGGTGTTTCAAGGACATCATCCGCATCTCATTTGGCTTCATAGTAGCAACTAAATATCTGCTTTTTACACTACTGATCCCTTCAGACCAGATGCTTTCATGGACATGAAAGAGCATTGCAGATGTCCAGTATAATGTCATACTGGCGAATATACTCACCCTGCAGTACTCATTGATAGGCCCCAATCTTTTCATGGCCACATCTCTGATATGGCTCCTCCTAAACAGGATCTTCCCTGGAAAATAGCAGGAAATTGGATTTAGAAGCAAAATTATAATCTTTTTCAGTCATCAGTACAAACTGTCATGCTTGTTGAAACTGTTCATACATGTTGCCTTAGGAGGAAAATGATTGCTGCTGCTATCACTGTTCCACAGCAGCAAGTTCTAATAATCACACTTTATAAGCAACATGTATTCGACTGTGACTTACTGTACATAAAGGTATTAGCAAATGAAAGAAAACACCAAACTGCTTTTGGACGATGCTTTCATTTAAAAGCAATTTTTAGAAAGTCTGGGTTCCACTGAAGGACAATTTGTGGCTTTTAGAAAACACGGTTAGTGAATTAGCATGCAAGCACAATGCAGCCATGTCATCAATAACACCGACAGCACAATCAGGTGGGTAAGGAGCTGGGTAAATAGCTGGCCTTTCCACATCATGAATAAATGATTTTGGGAAGGCAAATAATGCCCAAATGACAGCTCAGATGCTAATCACCCATTCTTATCTCCAGAGGAAAAAATAAATAAAAATTCCGGCACAGACGAACTCGCCATAACAATAACAAGTAATGGCCACAAATAGGCCTCTTAAAACATTCTAACTTAACGGTATGCAGGAAATGTCAGAGCCAGTTTCTATTTTCTTCTCATTTTAGCTGCTGAACTTTCTCCAATAAATTCACAGAGACGGCTCTAATTCAAACATATAAACTGGTCAGGAAGTCAAGGCTGTGATAAGATCCTGAAACCAATAAGGACATGTTTAGGGAACTTACTTTATCACCTCCATCAAGGATTGGGGTGTTTGTTGAATGAGTATTTAAAGTAGACTCACTGACCCATGAATCCATCTCACGGGAGATCGTTTCCGAGCAGCCACCCACAGCTTCAGTTTCACCCACAAAACTAAAAATCTTTTCTGCTTCCTTAACCAAAACAGCCCAAGACCACCAATGTGTAAGTTGTACGGATACAGGAGCAGAGAGACTGTTTGTCTCTGACTATGAATATTTATGACATCACGTTACTGCTTGTCAGTGAATTTGACTAAAACAAGACAAAAGGAGAATGCATAAAGTGATGTAGACAGATGTGTTGTGGTTTTCCCAAAGGCCTCAGATCATGAATAATAAGAATATATAAGTGGAATATATGTTGATGTTTTATAGCTCATCATGCTGCTGCCTCCCCTTGCACTACCCAGCCGTGCGCTAATGGTCTGGATTTGGCTGAATCAGGACATAATACAACACAATACATAAATGTTTTAGAGCACAGCAAGTGGCATAGGACAAAGACTGACAAAGATAATGACAGAGCAAGAGAAAGACAGAGGCACGGAGTGAGAATATGTGCCTATATGACAAACACAGGGAGACAAGATGGAGCAGTTCATTTTCTTCCAAAAGGTAGAAGTCATAGACCTGAGATTCTCCCAGCGTTTGAACCAGAAGGACCTGCAGAATGGCAATATCGCATTTGTGCACGTGACAAAAAGATTACCCTGTCAGAACAAAATGAAATGACATGAAAGGGAAAAAAAATCTCCATTGGGGCTGAACAGTGGTTGTAAGTGGTTCTAATGGGAAGACAACACACTTAAGTCACATGCATGTCACTCAAAAACCGCAGTAAGAGTAGCGCCCAAATTTGGTACGGAAGATGAATAAGAGTAAGTATGGGAAACACTAATGATGACCACAACCAACTTCCAAAGAACCCACCTCTGCTATTCTCACAGCCACATTCAACTGACTGCGACCTCCTATAATGGGCGAGAAAAACCAAGACAAAGACCACAGGAAGTCTTTTTCATCACACTTCGTTGTTACAGGATGTGACTAAAGACAAAGGGGAGATGGCATAAAAGAGTAGATGCTGCCAGTGTATAAAGACACCTAATTGGTTTGAGATTAATATACACTGGTGCAAATACTATTATGAGTAGGTGGGGTCATTTTTTTTAAGAAAACGCATCTTCAAAATCCTGTGTTCCTGTAGGTTCGGCTTTGTAACTTCTATTAGTCATGTCCGAGTAAACAGCTCAACAACCACTGATGGATTTTGTAAAGATGTTAATGGCCCCGGGAGGATGAATCCTACTGACCTTTGAATTTAAATGGAATATGTTAATAACTATTGGATGGACTGCCATGAAATTCTGCGCAATTTTCGAGATCCCTCTAGAGGATGAATCCTGGTGACAATGTTTGTCAGAAGGTTTTAATATACAGGAAAATTTCCATGAAATAAATTTTGGGAAGAGCAGGTCGTCCCCTAACTGGAAGGTTGGCGGTTTGATTCCCGGCTTCTGCAGTCGATGTGTGTATCAAGTGGCCTTGAGCAAGACACTGAACCCCAAATTGCTCCCAGTAATATCACAGGTGTGTGAATGTGCATTTGCTTGGAGTGTGAATGGCTGAATGTGTGAATAAAGTGAAAGCGCTTTCAGTGTGCTGCAATGAACAGAAAAGCGCGTATAAAACCATTCACCATACATTGTCTTCCATGTGTGCAGAGGAGAACAATATAGCAGTATGTTGTAGCCGGTACTTTTTACCATACTGACTCTGAGAGACGAGGCAGTCCAAGTAACTACAAAACAGTGCTGATTTATTCCATGAACACAGGTAAAAATTAACATTACACGCTCAGGCATCTTGCACCTCCAAACTGCTCGCAGGCAGATGTAAGATGAAAGACCCTGAACCCACCAGGCCTATACATTATATCCCTTCGGTTGGGCTAGCCCCATACTACACAGAAACGTCAACCGGGACGTCTCTGTTGCCAGCTTTGCAGCTGGCCATAGCAGTAGTCAAAACATGAAGCAAATCAACGTGTGAATGTGTGTGTGTGTTTGTTGATTAAGTGGTGTGTAGCTAAAAACATTCTCACACGACTTCTAGTAACATGTCGTGATATTAAACATAAGAACATATTATGGCTAAGGCTACAGTTATACACGTCATAATAATAATATTAAACACCCTGTCTGCTGACAGTCATCAACTCTTCTCTCTAGTTATCCTTGACCAGATGTACCCTGTAGAAACTCATAAGCATGACTAAGCATTTAACAGTCTAACTAGACATCCTATCTCCACTAAACATTTCTAATACATAAATCCAATTTCTATCTGACTAAAAATACCTAACAATTATGTGAGGGAGACTACTAAAAAGGAGATTAACTAGACTAAGAGTAAGAGAAGGCATTCCAAATCTCTAAAGTGCAGCCAAAAGGACACACTGTCTGGACAGTTCTCAAAAACTAAAGAGATTTGAAAGTCAACCTTCAGATGCCTACTTCTCTTCCTCCCTTCTCCCCTCGTCACTCCTCAAACAGAAAGCTTTTAGACAGTTTTCCAAAGCTCTCCGGGGTCGGGCGAGAAACACTGACTCAACACTGCCCACTCTGTATGCATGGCAGCTCATGGGTGCCAATGAAAAGGGCTTGTTTGGGGAGGGAGGGGAGGAAGGCTGCTGCTTCGGAGCCATGGCTGAAGCACAGCAGACTTTACAGCAAATCTCAGAGCCATCAGTGACCAGGGCTATCAAGCAACTTTTGTTTCCTAAGGAGGGTGAGGGAGGTACATGGAGACGAGACAGGGAACACAGAGCAGGTCGGCAGTGCATACCTCACACACAGCAAGCTGTTCTCAGCTCTTAATCAATGGACTCACCACACATGAAGTGCTCCTGTTTTTTTTCCACCCCATTTAGCCTCTTCAAGAAGATTGAGTTGCTAAAATCTTTACATAACACTAAAGCTGGTTAGACCTGGTCAGGTAAAACAGCAAGTCCCTGTACAGTCAGGAACATTCCCAGACATGCAGTAACCTCAGGCACTGTATGTTTCTCCACATCCTCTGGTCACAGTGCAGCAGCAGAAGGTAAAATATATCCACAAAACCGGGCGCAGCTGAAAAATTCGGCCATAACAATGGCGCCATGGATGTCAGGCAAGATCACATGAACACACAACTGCCTGGAGATTGACCATTCAAGGAAATCCTTAAACTATCACTTAATACTTTATTTTGTTAGAAAAAACTCTCACAACCCAGTGGCTTCTGCATAGAAATACTAGAACATACAGTATGTACACCTCATTTTATGAGCTTTAGGTCACATCTAAGATGATAATTCAGCAGGGAACATCTTTCCAGGGGAACAAAAACAAGCAATGTTTCACTAAATATATAGTAAATGTGAATAGAAAAAAAAAAGATATTGACTTAAGATATCAATTTAACTGAGCAGGACTGTGTAGCTTCACGTTCTGAGTGAAAAGCATCAGGGTCACTGCAGAGTAGGAATAGTGACAGCAACAAAAAACTGCTCTCATAAAGATATGAGCACATCAGCATTGTTTTAAGACAGACCTGAAAAATCACAAACCTATCCTTTAACGTTAAACGACTTGAGACTTGACATAGACTTAACACTGCAAACAGGCATGAGTAGACCTTCTACGTTAAAGCTAGAAGAATAAGCTGTGTTTGATATAATTTCTGTGTTTTTAGGTAAGCTGCTGACTAAGAGCACACACACCTCCATAAGCTGCTGTAGCTGCTACTGGCAGAACACATTTAAATAGACAAAAGCAGGGATTGGTTTTCCTGGCATACAAAAGATAAATGTGATACAAGTGAGGCTTAAGCAACAAAGTCATTGTAACTTTTCAGGAATGTTGTGTTTTTCTGCCTTTCACAGAGGACCAACAGCTCAACAGGACTGTACTTGGCCTGTGGCAGACACCGAGATCCGCAGCACAACATGAGTATGTACAGTGGATCCCTCATTAGGAGGAAAGCAGAAAAAAAATTTGACCCAAATTAAAAATTCACAGTCCAAACTCATGAAAAAACATCACCTCTTCCATAATTCAGACCCCCCCACATCCCGCACACACTCCATCTTGAGTGTTGATGCATAGTTTAACCAACCCCAGCTTTAGATAAGACCATATCAGTTCTTTCTCAAAGGCTGCCAGCTCACACTGCCTTAAAGAGCATCGCTCAGGGATCTCGGGTAAACGGATCAAATTTATGACTTCTCTAAATGTCATGTATGAACCCATCAAAGAATCCAGCACTGTGAGAGGTCTTCACATGACCAATGGCATATAGATACTGTGCACAATAATTAATAATAATTTTGAGATAACAAAAGGAGTCGACCTCCTGTATGGAAAAAATGATTAAGGTTTGCATGCACATTGTCACCTTTGAGAATTTCTAGAACTTCTTGGAGATCAAGGTTGGACTTGTAGCACCCAGGATTGGTGTGTACACTTGGCAAAAAACAAAGCAGAAAGTTTGCGCAATGCATGCAAGCAGAAAAGCCAGTTTGCTGATGCAGAGATACCAAAGGAGTTGAAAAAAACAGCCCAAGGCCTTGAACAAACTAAATGAAGGAGGAAAAAAACCACTTCCATGCCTTATTAGGATGGCCTCAGGCCACATTGCTGACTTTTGCTTCGTAAGTGAATGATTTTCTTGGCTGTATGGAAAATTCTTCTGCAAATTAGGCAAATGTTAGCACCTCCCAGATGAGGTGTAGAACCTCATCTGGGATCTGAGACTCTTTTTCTTGAACCTTGATTTATTCACATACTAAGCATAAATAATGGTTTTCAGCAACATCAGTTGGCACAAATGTCAACAGCTCCACAGTGGCAATCCTAGAGTGTGCTATATCCAATCAGTCTAACTTTTGGTCTCTTAGCAGCTCCAAAGAGAAAATGAAGGGTGACAATTTAAAAAAAAAAAATCTTGAATTTCAGACAATAAACAGTAAAAACAGGAAAGTAGTATGTGTAATGGTCATTTTATTATGTCTGACTGTATAAAGGGACAGTAGGGGATAATATAAAAGCAGTGTTTTCTATCTCCCTCCCCAACCTAGACTTTATCAAACAGTCTCAGAGTGGGAGAGTGGTTTTGTATGTGTATGTATTCTCTCAATGAGTTCCAGACCTGCATGGCCACAAAAAACCCTATCCCCCACCCATTCCAAGCCTGTAGGAGAGATGTAGGTGGGGTCTTCAAGTGAGGCTTTCTTTCAAACTCTCACAAAATAATTTCAAAAGTAGGTTGAGCACACCCAAAGTCCTTACTTCAAAACTAACCTCATTTCTGGTTGAGCTTGTGGGAAAGTAATGGAAACTAAAAAGAAGAAATTGTTACTTTGGGCAGTCAGGGTTCACACATGATGATGATTCAGCAAGGACAAAAGTGCAGCTAGACCAAGAAAAGAACTAATATTGAATGTTACACTCTGTAACCTTCCAGATTTTCATTGAAACAACAGCAAATACAGTGTGTCACTGAAAGGCTCCGACCATAATCTATGTCATGTCTAATACAGTATGTCTTTGGGCCATATGCTGAGCGATTGGCTGGATTATCTGAATGTGCAAACAGTAAATAACCAAATCTGCTCTTGGTTGGGTCACATAATAGTGACGTTGTGACCACTGATGGCTGCTTCAGATTATTCTAGTTAATTTCTCTGTGTGCAGTAGCAAACCTAACAAAACATTCTGCTTTCCTCCTTTTCATCCACACTCACAGTGTGCCAGTTTCTGATGGAGAAATCCAGATACTCTACACTGGCATATACTGTATGTGCGGGAGCTTTGGAGGACACTGTGTGCTGTGTTGACATTGTGTGACATTGTGCATTTATTACCTGGCAGGAATGGAATGATCCTGCGCTTGGGGTCTTTCTGGCCTCCCTCCACTGGGAATTTATCCAGCAGTTCCATCTGAAACCACACAATTAATTAAAATATATTAGCATATGAAGGATTTACACTCACACATACACTAACATGCGTTTCATATTACACAGCTGAGGCTAGAGAGGAAGGGTTCATATTTTTATAAATCAGCAGTTCCTACAAGGAATTTGGCCAATAAGCAGAGGCCTGCCACTGATTAGACATGTACTGAGCAAACGGTATGGGTTCCCCCCTCTGCTTCATGTGCTCCTGTAGCTAATGTCTTCTTTGTCCATGACTGTTAGTGAAAATCTTTGTGCTTCCACACATACGGCTGTTTGCTGTGTGCCCATGGCCATTCTCCATGCAACTAAATGACTAATCTCCCAAATGTAGAATTCTGCAGCTGTAGGTGTTCTAAAGTTGGTTGAACTGAAATCACAGTGACACTAGTTTGTATGATCGTCTGCTACCAACTCAGAAAAAACAACCAAGGACTAAGAATGCAGTTAGAGCTGGGCCACGTGTGCAATGACAGTGCTAGAAATTCATACCACTTCTGACCATGTTCTGTTCAATGGTAACCTGATAAAACATTTTATCTACCAAGGCTGATTTACACAGAAGAATTCCAGGGTCAAAACAAAGTGGCTCATCAAATACTGAACCAGTTCCTTCCACAGTTAAATATCTCTCAACCCTGACTGGTATGAGACTCATTTCTAGAATATGCAGCACCAATTTTTAAATAGAAATGTAAAGTCGTAGAGATTGTGATGTGGTATATTTAATGCTTCAATGGCTACATTTCAGATCAGACATGCATCCATAATTTGTCAGTTTTAGGCCTAAATATTTTAACAAAAATATAGTACTGTATTTAAAATGAGAGCTATCCAGATTGCTGTCAACAAGAAAGAAAACTGTCTCAAAGCATTATATCATTGCTCAGCCTACTCTGATCCACCTACTCCTGAATCTAATTTTACACACGTGGGTCATGAAACAGGAACCGTATGCATCAATGGGTAGATGACGTGTGTTCTAAAGTATCATATTTATATATCCTCACAATTTGAGCTCATTAAACGGGTTTTAAAACAAGCATGTCAGCAATACAAATAGAGAAGTGTCAAGCTGACAAAATGTCCTTTGGTAAATATGAGAAAAACAGCATGTTAGACTGAGCTAAAACTGAAAGAGAGAGACAGTGAGAGGGGCAGAATGAGGTGACGTGATGGGAAAAGGCAGAGACCTGTGCCAAATAGTCTTGTCTAGTACCTTTTATGGACCATCTCAGTCTAGACAGGTGCCAAAGAAGTTGCATCAGGCTTCTACATTCTCAAATTACTTACAGTAAATAGACAGTTTTTGATACTTTTTAATTTTGTGGAAAACAGAGAAGGAATCCAAAACATATAACAATAAAGATATCTTGACAGCTAGCCCTCTTGTCATCTCCAAAACACCTAGAAGGATCAGGGGTGACATCTAATGCAAAACTACATTAGATGTCACCCATATACAACACAGGTATTTATAAAACCGGAGCAAATTATAACAAATCTGAAATTGAGGGCATAAACCAAAGTGCAAGAGTGGCACTATGTTCAAAGGTTGTTTGACTACAGTCTGAAAGGAGTAACAGCCCCTGGATGGTTGCAGACATCTGGGTGGGAAAGTACCAGTCAGAAACATGACATATGTTCAAGCATAACAGGGGCCATATGTTGTACAGGTGGACGAATGAGCACAAACACCATACTGGCCAGTGATTTCTCTTCATTAAATATTTCTCATAACTTATCCTACTAAATGCTCCTCAGTCCACATAAAAGGGAAGTTCAACAAGCTGATTTTAACCCAATCTTTAAACCCTTTAATGAGCTCCACAGGCCTTGGTAGGAGGCTAGTAAATCTTCAAGTTTGCTAAAAAAAAAAAAAAAAAAAGACAAACTGGTTTTGGGAACTAATTCAATCTACTCTCCTGCTGTTGAAACTGTCCTCTCTTTACATATTAGCAGAGCAGTAACAAGCTCCATCGTCATAAATCCAATGAAGACACACTGGCTTTGGGAACTAATTCAATCTACTCTCCTGCTGTTGAAACTGTCCTCTCTTTACATATTAGCAGAGCAGTAACAAGCTCCATCGTCATAAATCCAATAAAGATAAGTGTATAATTATAAAACTAATAGCCCAGTAACATTCTTACCTTTCATACCCAACAGACCTAAGATTTGGTGTTAATGTAATCTCAGACACTTGAGGGAAAAAATATCAAACTAAATGATTCTGACAAAACATAACACAAATCACAATTCTGGCTTGGACTTCTCTGTGAAACATCAGCCTTTAGGCGTGAACATCAAGCCAGATACAGTTGTACTTAAATGACTCCTCAGTTGCTCTGACTGCCAAAGCTCAGCATCATCAAGTTAAAGCCACAGTTTCTCCATCCAAGGTAAAAAGAAAGAGGGAGCCATGAACTCTCTCTACAACAGACAAAGAAAAGAGGTGAGTCACTCCACTTTAGTCTTTGTAGTTTAAGGTACAACAAAAGGCAAAAAAGGAATTCAGAAAAAGAAAAAAGGGGCAAACAAAGCCAGCCTGGCTTAAGAGTGAGATGCCTCATTGATGACACAGGACCACCTTAAGAGAGACAGTATAAATCATAAGAAAAGGTGGATGGTAAGAGAGAGACATTCAGACACAGCAGAACCAATACCCCCCACACTGTAATTGTTCCCATGTGTCTGATGGAGTGCAGACACACCCAGTCTCTGTGTCTACTCTCAGCCTTGTATCTACTCTGTAATCAGAGCCCCTCAAACAACAAAAGGCATCTGGAGAAAGTAAAGATGTCTCTTCAGAATACCAGTTACATCATGCCCCCAACATCAAATATTCATGCTGTACAGACAGAAGGCTGTCAGGCCAAGGTGGAGCAGAGTCAAACTCCACATAACTTCACAATAGCCTTGGATAGTTATGTTATTTTGAGTGATATCCTGCTGTGTTCATATCAGAAATAAACACATGCCGCATCCTTACTATTGGATGGTATAATGACAGGTGTATATATAATAATTTGTGGACCTCACTCAGTAAGCATTAGTTTACTAGAGATAATCATTTAAGTCTGTGACTCAGTTCTAGATATTTACATGTCACTGCTGTCAAAATAACAATATTAAAAAGTGTCTGAGGTCAACGCTCTTCTCAACTGAAGGTACCATTCACCAACGGACCCATTAGCTTACTCAGCAAATCTGCCAGAAATAGCGAAGGAATGCTCTGAACACCAACTGTTAACCTGTTTACAACACACCGTATCCTAATTGTACTATCACTGCATCAATGCAGATTTTACCACTAATAATCAAAAGTAACAGCTTGACGCATTTAAGCCATTGATTACGTTTAGACCAGACCTAGCACAGGTACACAAGAAGAACGAACATTTTCACTGTTGCCAGGTCACATTACTGGTCAGATAATATACCCATGATGCTGTAACAAATTCTTGCTGATTCAGGGACTAACATAATCTTCTGTCTAGCCCATATCCGCTTTAACCACATCAGCAGCCTTCAAATAAAGTCCTAATAAAGAAGCACTAGACAGTTGAATGAGACTAGAAAAATGTCCAACAATGGCTGCTCTCTCTGGAACATCCCTATCACAGTAGTACTCACTGTATGTATGAGGTCAATTGCAGACAACCATACTGCTACAATGATGCCCCACATTTGGGGTAGGGAGAACTGTTGGTCCACTTTCTATTAGCGATGAGAACAAAGTCATCATTCATGGGCAGTGGCTCTCAGCGTTAATTTAATGCATTACACTCGATGCTGATGCCAAGAGCTTATTATCAACTGCAGCAGCTCCAGAATTAAATGCTAAGTTAATCAGATCGATGGCTATATGACAGCCTTTTAAACAGCACCCATAGGTGTCGTTGTGGCTAGGTGTTTCTCAAGTACACTTCAGTAAAGCAAGCGTATCTGATGAAAAATAAACTGAGAAAGCCATAAAGTAATCATTTCCAATTGTTATCTGTTCAACAGACAACTCCAATTACATAAAAATAAGAAAACTGCCACTGAAAAGGAGTCTTGTGAACGAGCTTTGAAGAAGAAGAATACAGTGTACCAATCTTTCTGCACTGCTTAAGTAAAACCACATGTTTTGGGTTATCGTTCCACTGCTTAAGGATACCTACAGTACACTTTTAGTCTGAAAATGGCCAACGTTACCATGCACAAGAAGGAAATGAGCACACTGTTGATTTGTGAAATCAGTGGTCACTGCTCTCAGCAAAATAACCTACCACTCTTTAAAATGTTGGATTACTTGATTACTGCAAAAGGAAAATATGTGACAGCTGTGCAACTCTGAAAAACTAAGTAGTGCTGTTCTGGATTATTTTTTTTTCCTAGAGCTACAAAGTAAAAGCGTACCCTGTGTCCAAAGTGACTAGGAATCCTGGAAGCTTGTGAAACTCAATAGCCACATGTGCAGCATGAAAACTGTTCTTAAAACAGTCTAGGATGACCCCATGGCAAAGACTCTCTGCACTTTCCACCTTTCTGAACAGTTTAGTCTATTACTGCTACAGTTTAACCTGCTGAAGCTGCTCAGTTCACTCACTTGGTATTCAACAGCTTGCAAGTCGAAACATATACAACAGTCCACGTTGCACATGCAGCAGCACAGACGAAAAATGTAAGCTGTGCAGCACATAGCATCTCACGTGCACCATGAGCAATAAGCTTGTGTTTGTGCCTATACCAGGCGTGTGTTCACTCACGCACTGGAGGTGCTTGATGTACAAAGAACGCAGAGGGGCCTACAGAAACACCTCGAAGAAGAGAAAACTACGTCCAAATGTCCAACAAATAGTACACAGCAAAGAAAACACTGGCTACACATCAAATACATGTACGTACGTAAAACACAGCAAATACAAACTACAAACTTCAAAGAGAACTGTGTGCTCAGTAGGAGTGATGACAGTCTTCTGTTACCTGTTCCACCGTTTTCTATTTGGAGAAGTCAAGCACTTCATTTTTAGTTTGTTTGTTAAAAAAAAAAAAAAGTGAGAAAGACAGAAAATGTGAAACTGTAATCCCATATTTTATTTTTATTACAGTTTAACTTTTCATTAAAGAAAAGTTACAAACATGTTTGTGTATGCTGTCAGTTACAGTTCTCAGAAAAAAAGATTTTAATCAGCAGGTCAGACTTAGAAAAAAAAAATCAGAAACTGGAACTGGGTAAGAAAATTGCAATCGCTGCATCTCTAATAAGAACTGAAAATTCCCTTAATTAAAGCGATACCATATTGAAGACAAAGTAAGCACAGTTTGTGGTCAGTGACAACACAAAAAGCAAGTTGAACTAAGTGTAAGCTGCGTGGGCCAGCTGTGTTGACAGGATGTGGTGAATAACACTTCCTGTCTGGTTCTGAGGCTGTGAAAAGACAATTTACATGGTTTTTAAAAAAAAGTATCCTCTTTTCTCTGTTCATATCGACCCCTCCGGAATAACAAGACAACAGCAGAAAGCCACAGAATGAGAGATGACCACAACCGAGCAGGAAAAAAAGCAGGATATGGTGGAGGAAAGCAAAAGGGGATGACAGGGGATGACGGGAAACAAAGCAATGATAATGAGAGAAACTGAATGACGCAGCTCTGTGTCATCATCCCCGCTGAGCACCTGGAACTGCCGATGATGTCAACCATTACCTTATTCCTCATCATCATAGTCCAGGGTGTCACGGGTCAAAATGATAAAATAACCTTTTAAAACAATTACAAAGAACAACTTCAAATAAATTCTTCAACATGAACCCCTAACAGAGGGGAGCTGATGGGGTTTTCAACATTCCAACCTGCCACTTTTCTGTAAGAAACACCACAGCCTCAAGGTGATTTATTATCATTTATACATTAATGCCAAACCTAACTGAACAGGAAACACTTACAGGAAACAGCTGTAAGACACAAGTTGGGTGAAAATATCTCATATGCGCTCATCTGATTCACTGCCACTGTTCCAACCACATGTATGGTCATTGATTCATTCTCATATAACAATTACTTAATCCAGCACTAGGATTTCTGGCTTTCAAACCTCACTTTCCTATCCCTACTAGAAAAAACAACTTCCACACACTCCCCCCAAAACACTGATGTTTATCTCAGGATCTCATCCTATCACCTAATCACACCAGTCAACAAGTAAAAGGCCTTCTTCTTGAGCCAAACACATCAAAAGCAAAGCAGTGCTATGAGTAAGGCAAAACCAAATTTACTAAATTACCAACCGTGTAAATCTCTCCTCTATCTTAACTCACTTTAGCTGCACTTAAACACAGTTTGAATTCTAAATACCTAACGTTTTTGAGAACAACTACACAAGCCAATGACAGATGTTCATTCAACCATTCAATTCCTTTCCTGAGAAACCTTGATGGGACATTCAATAATGTACAACAAAAAAGCCCTGACAAAAGAAAATGTATTGTTAAATGTAATGATAGAGAAAAATGTCAACATCCCTTGATCACACTACAAAGATGACTCTTCATGGCTACACATGCACTTTTACTTGGGAAAGGCCGCAACAACACAAAGGTGATATCGCTGAAAAACCACTGAGTGTGATATGAGCAAGACTTCAGGCAGCTTTTATAGGCTTAAGTCAAACTAATGAAATCGGTAATGAAACTGTTTACATTCTGCTGGTTAACATCACATCTGCAACCTCAGAAAACCTTGATGGAGCATTATAGTTATTTATTTCATTACTCATGCTTTAACCAAGCTAATCAATTAAAAGGAATTTAATCCAGTTAGAGCTGACATTGTGCTATGCCTAAATTGAATGTGTGCTCCTTTAAAGTGGTTGCCTCTCTGGGTTTCCTGGAGTCTATGCCCTCTAAGCTCAGATATGGCCAGAGCCCCAGATCCACTGCCTTTGAAAGAAGAAAGAAAACTAGGATAATAATGATATTCTCTCTTTGTGCAACACTGCGAGCGTGATGCTCGAGAATGATTCAGACATTTCTGTGGTCACTGGTGCAGTCGTCACATTCATCACTGTCCTTGACTGACTTCACTGAGACATTTTCCAGTTCCTCTCATGCAATATAATTACTAGTGTCATGTGGGCGGGGCAGGGAGCATCTGGCTACAAGTGCTAGGTCTATAGAGGGAGTGCTGTATGGAGAGAGCACTTCATTCCCCTCATCCCAAAAACAAAGTACAAACACGGGTTCACACACACCATCACACTTACTCACCTGCAGGTCAAAGAACTTGCTGTAGCGTCTGTAAATGATTTCTGTGCTGCCATCGCTCCAGGACACTTTGATGATGTAAACCTGCAAAAGCAAGAGACAAAATTAATTGGGACATTTGGACAAATAGCCATGACTGTCCATCACTTGATAATGCAAATGCCCTGGGGAATCACTTCTGACTCACTGCGCCAGTAACTGGCAGTACTATGGGGGTATGTGGGGAAATGCTAACGGTCAGACAGCAGCCACCGTCACATCCGTTCACATGAAGGCAAAGAGGTTATTTGATTTTTTTCACTTCTCAGTTCAATTGCATCAAATTCCACTGAAGAGGAAGTTACTGTCCTGTATGGACGCAGCAGACCTGACTATGCTGCCTTTTTAAAATTGCAGCTCTTAGAGAAACACTGATGTGGTGAGCATTGCAATAAAAGCTGCAGGAGAAACATGAGGTCATGAGTTCAATGTGAAGCCTTCAATACTACACAACATATTTTAACATACACAAAGTAGAGTTATAAAGATTACTGCTATTACATTTGTATCACTAAGTTAAAAATTAACTTCTTGCACAACTGAAATTCCACCAGCCTCACGTCGACAACATGACATATCAGGAATCATCTAACCAGATCTGGACCACTAACCATCCAGCCTTATCACTGTAGTCTGGAGGCAAAAAACACAATACTTCATTTTCTTCCCTGAAGAAGAAGAAGAAGAAGAAGAAGAAGAAGAAGGGAGAGGCAGGGAGGTGACTGGAAATTCCCCAAGGGCTCACTGTGACTTGCTGAACGCTGCTGGCCCTGCTCCCAGACCTTCTCTTGGCCTCATGCTCTCATTCAAAGCACTAGAGTCAGATATGGCCAAAGATGGTCCAAATAAATGCCTTCATTTAATAAAAAAGCTTATTTCAACAACATTATGTACTTATTGTAAATTCTATGTATAAATTTAGTCTAGTAAAAGTGTATCTATAATTTTCAGGTCTGTGGCAAACTATACTGACATTGAAAATTCTATTCAAAAATGTGCACGGTCTTCTCTAAGGGAGAAGGGTCACGGTGGTTTCTAGGTTGGGGGCGGTGGTGGTTGGGGAGTTTGAAATCATTTCAGTATTTGTGAAAGAAAGTTGGCAACACACAGTCAAAAGTCTAATGCTTGTCACTGAATTTTCCCTGTTGTTTTTAGCATGCATTTATTCTGATATGTAGCCTAAAGGCCTTTTTATGTTCATTTGTCTTTGGTGCTTTAAGCAGCTTTTTGCTCTGGAGGCCGGTGTGTGCACAGAGAGTACCAAAGGCACGAAACAACATGGGTTGCACCACAGAGCAAACAGACAGATGGAGAAGACACAGGACCTTGAGAACTCTGTGTTCTTGTCCACCGACACTCACTGCGGTGGTCCGCCGACTCAGGCATCATGTCCACACATACATGGATGGAAACCATCATATGCATATGAGCACTCACACAGGAACGTGTACTTGGAACTAACAGGAACACCTGCTAAGGCCTTGGCAGAAACTCTCTCCCCTGGCCCTCTAGATGATACGGTGCAATGTGTTACTTTAAACTGACTGTGAGCTCTTTTGTATTTTACCCACTACTCACTTTCATAGAACAATCAAAACTCTAGTGTTTATGTATTGCAGATCTATGACAAATGAGTCTTTGTCTTTTTGACATTCTCGCCTCCCACACAATTGCTGAAACAGAAAAAATAGCCACACATACTTTTCCCCTGCCCCATACACAGTAATGCGACTATGGTAATACCGTAACTTGGCAGAAGTACAGTTTAACAGAAACTAATGAGATAATCCGTTTTTACAACAGCACCTCTTATAAGGATATTTTCACCTAAGCACTATGAACCTGAGCTATTCTGTGTAAATGGTCTAATTACTGATCAAAACCATATAACTGTACTGTAAAACTGAAGTCATTAAACTATAAATGCTGCAGGACATTTGTTAATATTTAAGACCTCTCCCTGCTTGAACTGCCTTGGGTTCACTGTGAAAACATTAGGGATGCTGCCTTCAAGACTTTCTGGTTATCAGCACCTGCAGGTATGTTTGTAAATGGAAGAGCCTGAGGCATGACAAATCTGGGATGCTCAAGTTTAACTCTGCATGCAGGAGGATTAGTCTGGGTGGTTTGTGGACTGCACTGATTTGCCGGTGAAAGAGGTTTTCTGGGACCTTCCTGTGATGCGATGGCACACGTGGCAGCTGGCATATGAGCAGCACTAAAAGAGGTTTTGTTAGACTCTGGCAGTATTAGTAGGCTCCAATCACTATATTCATACACAGACACATGATAGAGAATTACTGCAAGTCACTTAAAGATATGTAGACTGAGTGGGGTCGTGGGTCACAAGCCAGATTCACTTGAAATGTCCCCTAATGCCCAAACAACAATGTGGGTCTTAATTCCTAAAAGGTAAAAGACAAGTAAAAAGCTGCTGGTCAAATCTCAAACCCAATAAAGCAAACACTCTTCTTTACATTTTAACAGTAGAAAAATTCAACCAGAAAACATCAAGGAGCAACTTGGAAGGAGTAATTCTTTAAGAGTGTTCAAACATCAGTATTTATCAGTCTTCATAATAAAACAGTTGATGGAAAGAGCAGCAGGACCTAAGTTTTCAAAAATTCCCTGCTGTGAAAGTCTGTCTTGTCTATTTCCACTGGCTTGGCGAACTGTAATTTGATACTCTCTTTGTTTTTACTCTCCCGACAGGAAAGGGAGAAGTATTGCAAAATAAACCAAGTCATTTGCTCCGTTTAAGCAACAAATCGCTGCTGTTGTGATCATTAAACAAGGCTTACGTAGTGTTTGTTCGGATTCCTTCGTTTCTGGACATCTTGCACTGTTACTTCTAGCACTGTGCGCCGTGGCATGACGTCCACTTCTTTACGTCGCCGTTAAAAAGAAAAACAGAGTTCCCTGTTGAGTTTTACGAGCGAGGTTGAGAAAGTTTACACGATGACGCTTCTTTGTCATCCACGACCTCTGAATGCAACAAATACGGTTTTCCGTCAAGCTGCCTACGTCAAATTTCCTGTCCAACATGCAGTCGCATTCAAACCAGAAGTTAATAATCTGTTTGTTCTTCGTGTCCACCCTTTTTTGTGCCTTGTCCCGTCCCGCTGAAGGCTCCAACCAAACTCCCAGCCTATCCCAGCTCGCCCACTAGCAACTGGGACGCTGCGTTGCTCCAAAGACCAACCCTCTCCAGCGCCAGGGCGCACGGCTGCAGGATGAAGGGTTCAATCCATGCGTTTAAAGCGGAATCACTGGGCGTGTACATTTTGGACTATAGCAAATACTTTTAAAATGATGTTAAATTATGGTCAGAGGGACTTCAGACCTGACTCACTGTCTACATCACATCATCATCCTGTCTATATTTGGTATAAGTCATAAGATGATGTGGTGAAAACTGCTCATTTTGGCTTAGAAAAGTCATTCCGTCATTGTTTTTGTCCTTTTAATATCACATTGTTATGTTGTGGTTTACTGTTTCGGACTCAGCTGTAATGATTTTATAAATAAAACAATTTCAAAAATTACCCTACATTTATAACAAGTCTCACATTTGCAGATGTTTATAAAGGCAAAACACCTCCATCTGTTGGTGTGTTACACTCATTACAGTAACACTGTATGTGGCAGCTGTCCCCTTTTTGCAGAAGCCTTACTGTGCATGTTAAATGACGGCTGCGCTAGGGAGAAAATGTCTGGAGTCAGTACTGTCATAGCAAGTCAGAATGGAAAATAAAGCATTATTTTAAGATAAGATGAACCTTTATTAGTCCCACAACAGAGAAATTCCTAAAGCTACAGCAGCAAAGGGATAGAAACAAGGCACTCAATGACAAAAGTAGAGAAAGTAACAGATATGGTATTACCAATATAAATATTATCCATCCATCCATTTTCTAAACCTCTTAGTCCCAAACAGGGTCACGGAGCCAATCCCAGCCAGCTGCGGGCGAGATACACCCTGGACAGGTCGCCAGTCCATCGCAGGGCTAACACACAGACGAACAATGTAGAGACACCAATCCTATGCTGCATGTCTTTGGACTGTGGGAGGAAGCCGGAGCACCCGGAGAGAGAGGAGAGAACCCACGCAAGCATGGGAAGGCCCCAGGTCAGGCGGCGCTTGAACCTGAAACCTTCTTGCTGTGAGGCAACAGTGCAAACCACTGTGCCACCGTGCTGCCCTCATAAATATTATAAGTAAAATTAATATTACGCACCTCTTTTAACTAAATTATTACCCTGTTTCTATTTCACAGTTCCACTGAATTTCTACACTCATTTTTTTGTCTGTCTTCATATACTGCAATCTTGGCCAGGGCACCATTGGAAAAGAGGTTTGAAACCTCAGTGGGTCTACTGGGAGCAATGCTGGTTGTACAGCACAGCAGGAAGGACTTGGGGTGAAGCAGTCTGTCACTGGTGGAGCTGCCCAGTGCTGTCAGAGTCTCATGCATGGGGTGGGAGTCATTCTCCAGCAGGGATGTTAGCTTAGCTAGCATCCGCTTGTCTCCCACCACCTGCACTGGGTCAAGCAGACTTCCCAGGACAGAGCTGGCCCTCTTGACCAGTTTTTCTAGTCTTTTCCTGTCTGCAGTTGAGATGCTGCTGCCCCTGCAGACCACTCCATAAAAGATGGCTGATGCCACTACTGAGTCAAAGAAGGTCCTTAGCAATGTCCCCTGGACTCCAAACAACCTTAATCTCCTCAGCAGGTAGAGCCTCTTCTAAAGTGCATCAGTGTTGTTTGACCAGTCCAGTTTATAGAGGTGAACACCCAATTACTTATAATGATGAAGTGATAAAGATATGTGGCTCCCCAGTTAAACGTTTCACATTCTACATTTATTTCTATCAGGGTTATAAGAAATGAAACCACTTTAATCAAAAGCAGAAATGAATCTCAGAAATTATAGCATCGTTCTAAGGGTTATAAAAGTCCAAGATGAAAAATGGAACCTTCTTCATATTAAAGAAGGGAAAAAGTATGCAAGAGTCATAATTTTGAAAAAGGTTTAGCTGTTCCAGTTAACTCTATAAAAGTACATGACATTCAGTGGAAAACTATGATTCAACAAAAATATATAGACTAAAAAAGAAGAAATGTAGATAAAGAATCAGTCACATAAAACCTAGTAATTACAAGCTTTTAGGAATCGTGTATTTAAATAAATTGCTGTCACTGGGGGAAAAACATAATACTTTCAAATTGAGAAACATTTCCAAAATGCTGTTATTAGATAGAGCATCTATTTTATGGCTATATTCTAAAGAGGAAGAATTGACACTGCTGCATCATAGGTCAGATAGTATATGTAATATGAAGATATAAACACCAGAGCTGTTAAATAAAATGTGCTCATTTTCATCACATAGAAAAGGTAGACCTAACACAGGGTGTTACAATCATCATCATCTGGGATTGAATCAAAAGGGTAATTTGTGAAATGCTACATGTTTCAAAAGGTGAGGGTCACAAGTTGCATGAAAGATTAAAGATGGAGGTCAGAGGTGATTTAGATATGAAAAGGTCATATGAATAGGCACAAAGGTAAAAACTCAGAGGTCATATGAAAGGTGACGGGTCAGTACCGTCACATACTGTATGTGCAACTCCAGGTGTGAGGTGATGCCAGAGAAACGCTCCTGCAGCGGCAGCAGGTAACCCAAGGGTTCTCCCTGAGCCACCGGACCCATGTAACGATAGGGACAGATGTTGAAGATCTTCACACAGTGAACTGCATTAGACAGAAACAAAAAATATAGTTTGGAGGGCATTAATGTCATGTTATCTCCTGCTTGGACGGGCTGAGAAGTCACTCCCTTAAATATTATGAGGATATCAATGACATTAATAGAAATAAAATAGTGCTAATTCCATGAGTGACTCAGTTCAGCTCAGTTACACTATGAATATTTTAGGGAGTTTAAGCCAATTCATACTTGTGAAGTCAGGATGGTCTCATTATTTACTGTCATGGAGTAACTCTGAGACATGAAATCACATTTATCCAACACCAGTCACTGAAAAAAGTGGATGCAGCCGAGTTGAACATCTCAGAAGAAAGCTGTTCTACACCACATGTGATTGGATGTGTAAAATAGGAATCGGTTTGGCTGAGAGAAACCGAGTTAAACACGTTTAGCACCCCACCACCACCTTGGGCAACTGCTTCCTAAAAGTTATAAATCCCACTTCATGTACTACAGTATATAGACAATTTGTATACATGTATAGCATGTTGATGAAAATAATCTTAGGTTCTGCAACAAATAATAAATGTGGCGATAACTTGTTTATGATTGCTTATTTATAAGTGCAAATGGCAGAAACATAGGCTCAAGCCCCTAAAAAAGAACTGTCTTAACACCTTCTTTTTGCCATTTCACAGACAAAAACAAGCAAGCTGCCATTTTAGAAAGAAACAACCCAAAAATAGGCTGGGCTACAACAAGCTCAGCAGACCACTGAAGCCTATGAGCTCTTAATGATCAGTGGCTCAGCATTAATGTGGGTATCATGGAGAGGTAATGTGTCTCTGTGATGTCTAATCATGTCTGTGCTTTACCAGGAGATGAAAGGAGCTGAGAGTGCATGTGTTCTACTGATGATAGAGTTAAATTAGAGGTAGAGGCAGAATGAGGACTAATGATGTTTACTCATCACTTCGTTGCCTCAACTCAGGACAGAGTACACTCACTCATCCAAGCACATATACAGACACAAATGTAACGTACATTGCAGCGACATGAGCGCCCTTCTTGCCGGTTCCATCGAAACAGAAACACAAACGTTGATGCATCGCTTTGTTCTGTAATGATGGCCCTTAGTGGGAGTCATTACTCAAACAACCTCTGATGGGGTTTCACATGCAGCTGTGTTCTGGTGTTAGATGCAACCAAGAGTTAAAGCACCTTGACTAATCCCGCTAAATTACTCCTTTTAATCCCCACCCAGTGCCTCCACCATATTAAACTAACACTGTCTTTGCTCTAGCCATTAAGGTGCAGACGTACAGAAACAGTACAGGACTAGAGTGGTTTGTTAACACCTGCTTTTTCATTATTTTCTACCTTTTATTTCCAGAGAACAAGGCAGATACATTATGTCTGCTAGGGATCTATCACTGCCAGTCAGTCACCTGGTTGATCCATCAAGTTGTTGTTAATTGAAATATAACAATTATGGATTGTAATGTAGACAGGTACAGATACATATGCATGATGCCATGAGGATGAAACCTATGTAGTGAATTATCAGAAACAATCTACATGGCTCAGCACAAATGTATAAAATTACAGACGTGCAAGCATCCCAGACAGTAAACACTACTGCCTTTGGTGATTCCCGGCTTCATCACTTTTAGTGGTTCAGTGAAATGTCTCAGATGGATTACCCTGCAGCTCACTGTAGACATTCCCAGCCTCACAGAGCTACTAGCACAGTTGCAGAAGCTCTGTCTTATTGATTTATTATACAGTTATCACTAAGAATGAACAGTTTTCTTTTTATATAACCATCAGATGCATTCTAAAGTCTTGACTTTAACATTGGTTTCTACATCAATGTCTTTTGATATAACATTTTCAGAGATTAGATCCTATGATTTAAAATCATGACTAACAATCTTCCAAGTGCTGTATTAAAATCATGTCCTTCTTACCATCATTGAGAAGTTTGACCCCATTGACTGACTGGACCAGCCAGAGAGCCAGAGAATGGAGCGTTGACAATACCATAGTCATCACACACCAGGTCCACTGCTTTATGGAGGTCATTACCTCTGCAAGAGCGACAGAAAAGAATGTAATTGCACAGCCATTTTCAAATGCCTGTTTCAATTACTCATATTTCTCCAAAATTTACTTTAGAAATTCTAATGGCTGACTACAGATACAGTGTCTCTCAGCCCACAGAAAGCCAGCCTCCAACCAGAGAAAGCTCAACTGATCATCAATAAAACTTTGGTTTCTCTTGTCCATTTAGTACAGACTGATTAAGGTGTGCTGTCCCATGACAGTAAATTACCCTAAATAATTACCAAAGTAAAACAGTTTTCTGTGTGTCTACCTCATGACTAGGTGGATTGGCGACAGGGAAATGCTGCTTGTCAGCTAATCTGGGCTGTGAAGCTCTTGGGTGACGCAGTATCAGTAATCTTCTGAGGTTAATGCATAAGAATCAGATCATGAGAAGTCACCTTTTGGAGTGGAAAGCTCCACAACCATGCACATCACATGCCCTCACTCTGTTGCTGTGGTGACCAGCACAAAGGATGCTCAAGGCAGCTGCACAGCTTCCGACAAAGACAAGCATAAAACATGATATTTTAAAGTCATCTCATGTTCTTTCATGTGGAAATATGGTAAATTAGATCAGAAGGACACAAATCAAGTGTCATTTATTGAGGTATTTCATATGTGGTGTGTCAGACATAGCCTCTTATACACAACACAATTTAATGACTCAGATAGGAAAGAACGGAGCAAGAAAGGTTTTAGACCCTACTTAACAACAACAACACTGTGTGAATGAAGCAGCTTGTACACTGGGGATGTCACACCTAGAGTTAATATTTGTGATATTACAGTTGCAGCTATGTATTAGTATTGCACATGTATGACTGTGTCACTGTACCTGGCATACAGCACTGCCGCTTCTTCGCCCCCGAACACTTGTCTTTTAGGTATTGGCCTTGGCAGATGCATCGGTTTGCCTGGCAGATGCCTCCCAGCCTGGTGCAGCTGATGTCACTTCCCGGTCCCACAGAAATTCTCTCACTTCCAGTCTTCTTCATCTTCTTCCTTGGAGTCAGAGCCTTAGGTCTCCATTCACGCACTGTTATGTAATTTCTCTTCATTTTAATGTTGCTGTCAGTTTTCTTGTCAGAACTTTGATATCCTCCACCTTTCTGGTTTTTGTGTTCTATAGCACAGCTTAACAGGATATCTTAAAGACAATTGAAAGGCACTGCGAGTTAGAATTAAGAACATTAAGGAGGGAGAATTAAAATGAGAATGTGCCTTAAAACAACTTTCTTGGTTTAAGGATTAAATCAAACTTTTGTGTGATTACATTTGGGATTACTCTTAATTCTGGATTTAGTTAGTATTTAGAATTTTTTCACCTGCTGATTTTTCATGCTGTTGAGATGCCACATAGAAATTATCTACTCAACTTAAAATGATACATGAATTATCAGAGAAAATATGACAGTGATCAACCTACCAATTCTCTACTCGTCTACTTAGTCTTCTTTATAGCTATTACACTACACTATTTTTCTGTCAATATACTGAGACATAATTAAATTTAGATGTAGGTACTGTAGGTAAGTGGAATGGAGCCACTATAAGGCTTCAAAACCAACCATAAAATGCCATAAAACCCAGTAAAAAATAAAGTAATGAAAAAAAGCACACCTTGTAGAAATGAACATGGACACTCAACATTTTCATAACAAGTCTTAGCCCACCGCCTGGGTACATCAGGAGGTGGTCGACAGAGTCATAGTTTAGTTATTCATGGTGCACTTTTATTCTGACAGCCTACTACTTATCCTGCCCAGACATGAGTCTTTGATCTTCATTAACTCCATTAACCTCTGAGGCACAGAAACTATTTCAATCACTGCCCTGGCACAGGGACACGCACTGGGCTCAGTGATTGAAAGAAGCTGCTTATCACTTAATGACTGGGAGACAGTCAGACAGGCTGTAGTGTGGAAAAGCAATTTTACTCAGCTTGTGAGTAAAAATTAAAAAAGGCAATATTTTGTGACTTTTGTGCCTGAGCAGAACTATAGTAGCTATGTGGGTTTGCTGGTGTTTTGCTAAATGGCTGTTAGTGCATTGTTAGGTGGCTGCTGCACTGTCTGTGCTGCCAGGTTGTTAGGGTTTCATTAGGCCGTTGTGATGCAGTAAATTTGATGCTGTGGGTGTTTGGCATGGTTTGGCTATCCTATGTGTTTGGTGGGTTGTTGGGGCATTTTGAGTTCGAACCCGTTTCCTAGGTACTGAAACAGTCAAACCACACCCCTTTCTCTAAATCTCTCCATTGTGCTGATTATTTTAACACAGCCAATATCACATCAGATTTTTTATAACACTGTGCTTACAGTGTATAATTTGTGTGCTTGATGGGCACGGCACACAACTGTTATGCTCCGTACAGCACTTAATTTGTGTCCGTGCAATGGCAAGCCTCAGCCAGATTTTGCTATTAGCATATTTATCAGTCTTCTGTCCTACTAATTTGACTGGTTAGTCCTTTGTGCATTTGATGCATCAAGAGTAGTGCAACAAATCCTCATCAAGGGCATATATATTTAGTAAAAGAGTGTCATCATTATTTTGTACACTGTCTTTAAAGTATCTGCTTCTGTTTCTTTTCAATTAACTATATACAGAACAAGAAGAAGAACCTGAAGATAGTTAATGACAGAGTGTGGAAAACAACCTGCTGCTCTGTCAGAGTGGGTGAATGGCAGCTTTACATACTTTTCCTTTGATTGCCAGCTATTCTGTCTGTGGGTGGGACACCACAGATGCACACAAATACAGTTAACGTATAATGAAAAGAGGGACAAGCATGAATAGATTAATACAAATTGATTCAGCATTGGCAGGTATCTCTCATTCAGCTGCAGAGTGAGACCTGCGTCCACTGTGTTGGCTGTCAATAACAACATGGCTGTCCCATATTCATGTCCCTCAGAGTCAGTGTATGCCTTAAGCTTTGCAGTTAGATGAAACAATGTAATGTTGCATTAAACATTCAATCATGCTTTAAATGCCTCATCCACTTGCACCAACATACAGTCACTCCAGCAGTTGAACCACCCCCCCAAGGTTTTTGTTTACAGGATTTTACAGTCTCCTAATAGGGTTCAGTTCATGGCAATCTCCAGGGGCAGGCTGATATTTATACAGCATTTATTGTTCCTATAATAGGAGCCTTATTAGTGTACACTGCTGAATGGCAAATTATTGTGTGTATGGGCCTATGCATGCGTGACTATACTACGTGGCTGTGAGTAAACATTTTGTGATTGTGTTTGTGAAAACTGTATCATTAACCCTCCAGGCTTTGTATGTTGCACTGTATATGTTGTGATGCATGTGTACATTTTGTAGTAGAAGCAGGCTACTTACAGCATACTAGCAGAGTTGCAAAGACACAGAGCCTCAACGGGATCCTCATCATCAAAGGATCAGGTCTGAAGTCAAGAATCTGTGCAATAAGGATAGAAAACATACAACTTATTCCATCCAGACAGATAGAGGTTCCCCATATAAAGCTGTAGGCTAATATGTATATTATGGTTATTTATCATACAAAATTCCATACAAATCATAAGTAGAATCTAGCACACTGGCTTAATTTATATTGTAACAACGCAGTCTGAAATCCCAATGAGAAGCAGACCAAATTCCATTTTCTGACTGAATACTGCTCTGACTTTCTAATGAGAGAAAATGTAACAACACGTACCAGAGCTGTGGAGACGCTGTAGTGCAGCTGCAGGCGCAGTGGGTAGAAATACATAGCAGAGACTGTTGAAAAGCCAACCTGCTGTGAAAGCTGCAGCCCTGGACCACAGGACATTCCCCCACTGTCAATATTTATATTGGCCTTTAGAAATCACACCCATTTACCTGCTGGAAAAAGCTCACTTTATTGACTTTTTGTTGTTTGAAAGTTAACACAGAGTTAGTTATTGACCTCTGAGAAAAAGAAAGAAAGAAAGAAACCCCAGCAAAACATAAGGCCTCGGCAAACAGCCTTCCAGTTCTATCTGAATCTAGTTTTTACCAACTGAGCAGCAGCATTGACAAATTTAATTTTAATATTTTCTTTAATTTTCGGTGTTTTGACATGATGAAATAAACAGTTTAGTAAATAATGGAAAAAAGGCTCTAATTCTTTCAACATTAAGCACTATCAACATGCTTTGAGTTCACTTGAAGAAACAAGTAATGTACAATAATAATGTGATGTCTGTTATATACTGTTTTTAAAGTTAATATATTGCAACCCTATCTCCCAGAAACTACGTTTATTTGCTTCTTTCCTTTATAGTGAATATAATTCCTGCCTGGATTATGTTCATAAACTCTTCACGCAGTTACAATGTCAGAATTTTTTTGTCATTCTTTATACCAGTCATAAAGTCCACAAAGGATACATGAATTCTAATAATTTCACTTGAGGGTGCAGGAAGCATGGATTAAAGACTAGGACTCAAATTATATTGGCTATATAAACCCCATATACTGTAAGCCCATTAGTGTTTGCTGTGCAGCCAGCAGGGACAGGACTGCTGTGTCAAGTCTGTCACTGCTGTGTGCTGTCACGCTGTCAAATCCTCGCTTCTCACATTTAACAAGGAAAAAAAAAATCATCAAATCATTATTCTCCACGCATTAGCCTAGCATCTGTTATGAGATAATTAACTTTAAGGCCTTACAAAATGCAATGAATGTCAGTCACTGATGTGAATTAACACAGGGGTGAAAGATAGGGTGAAAATTAAATCCATGGATAAATACTATAAGCATGTGAAAGTACAGTGGGGTATTTCAGAGCCTGCACTGTGCAGTATATGTCTATGGTGACAGCCAATAAATAGTAATTAGTACTTATGTTAACAGATGTGCAACTCACGAGTTCCTACTGTCTTTTTGATTAACACAAATAAACCTGCTGTTTCTTCATCACAGCTACATGAAGTTCAGAAATAAATGGTTATTTGTTTTTCGTTTGCTCAGTTTCTTCATTTGTATGTACAAGTGTATCCTACTTTATTGATGCACTGCGCTGCAGATGAGGTCACTGTAGAATCTGAATGCTTTTATTCTAATTCTG